TACGGACATGCAGCATCAGCGGTACCACCTCCTCCGAGGGGTGCGGCTCCTCCTCGAGTGCAGTCGCCGCTGGCGGGACAAACTCACGGCATCCCTCCTCCTAGGCCGTCATCAACTGCCAACCAGTACGCACCTCCTGCGCCACAGCCCGGTGCCGTTCCGTCGCCAATTCCCCAGGTTGTCCCTCGAACAGCATCTCCTTATAATGCCCCCCCTGCTGGCCGACCTCCATCAAACAGATATGCTCCCAGCCCGGCTGCCCAGCGACCCAACCAGCCTGCTACGTCGGCCATGCCTCCCCCTCCCGCCGCTGGCAGCCGACCACCACCTCCAGCAAACCCCTACGGAGCGCCTCCTCAACAAACACCTTCGCCAGGCCAGTATGCTCCGTCGCCATACGCTCCCCAGCAAGCCCAGGCGGCTGGCCCTCCTCCTGCTGGCCGTCCACCGTCCGGACCACCACCAACCAACCTCCCACAGGCTACGCCACCGCCTCCCAAGGCCGCCGCGGCCCCAGCAAAGGCAAAACATCCGGCCGGCGACCGTTCGCACATTCCGGCTCATGCTCAGCGTTTAGTTGACATTCTGAGCCAAGACATGCAGCGCGTTGCGGCGAAGGCTCCTGCCACCTTTACTGCTCAGGTGAACGACACGCAAAAGCGACTGAGCCTGTTATTTGATCACCTTAACAACGAAGAGCTAGTTCAGCCGGCCACTATTAACCAGCTCACACAATTGGCAGACTCTATTCAAGCAAAGGACTATGCTGCGGCGCAGAAGTTGCAAGTTGAGATTCAGCGAGACAAAACCGAAGAGTGCGGCAACTGGATGGTATGTATGCCTGGTAGCAGCAAATGATCGGGTCTGTACTAACTGTTGATAGGTCGGTGTCAAGCGTCTCATTAGCATGAGCAAGGCTACTCCTTAGTGAGTTTGAATAATAGGTGGTTGGTATTCGGTAGTAACAATTATGAGTGGATTGCCTGGACAAGTGGACGGTGCGCTTGAAAATTTCAGTCAATGTGGCAAGATGCAATAGGGGGCATAGTCATGGGGATAGATGAAATATATTTCACCATTTTAAAATGGTATCGTTATTTTTTAAGTATTCCAAGCCGAGCTAACCTCGTCCGACTCTTCGTTTGCTACGAAAGGACACGTTTTTCTCACAGAGAGTCGCAGCGTACAGTGGGAGGCAAAAAGTATTTAATCAAATCAGTTACCTGGCTATCGCGCTCTATAATATAATGTACTATAGTATATTAGTGTATACTTCTTGGTGGGCAAATAATTTCTGCCAGACTGCAGCAGGAGCCGTGTAGCAACTCGATGAGCTCTGATATCCGTCAGATGGGGCTTGAGTTGTGAGCTCCAGGTCTTTGGGATTCTGATGAACTACTACAGAGTAGCATGCTTGTTATTTGACAGCCGTTGGGGCCACCAGAAGGCGATCAGGATGGGCGTGCTGATGTCGAATTCAGGGCACATGGCATGATACGCTTTTCGAGAAAGAATGCAGGCTGAAAGCGCAATCCCAAGGACGTGTCAACCGCGTTCGCCCTGGCGATTGATTGCTCGGCATTGTTTTGCTTTGCACACGTGCAAAAAGTATATTTGTGAGCACGTCATTAGGGCGCCAGTACGATGAAAATTATAGCTTCAAAATTGGTCATCTACGACAAGACTGGCGAGGAAGGTCTTTGGAATTGGATGCGACACAGGCACTGGCTGTAGAGCATGTGATGCCCTCGGCGGGTTCGAAACAGACCGTGAAGGTCCCTTGAACCAACGCATGCACCTCCAAGCCGCAAAAACACCTCTCACAGCAGAAACATGCACAAAGAATGTAGGCGTATATGGTTTACCTCAACCTCACCGACCGACGGTCTCGGAAAAGAGGGGTGGAATATAAAGCCTTTGGCAACCACACGGCTCAGGTAGTCTTTCGACGACCGAACTGCGCAGCTATACCAGTCTTTCTTGGACCTGTCGATAAGACATTGACACCATAACAAGTTGATGGCTCCGTGGAGTTATCGAGCTGCACAGCAATCAACCTTGGACTTCCGTAGAAGCAAGGGACCGCCGGGCACAGATCCGTGGTTGAGAAGAAGAAGAAAAAAAGTGAAGCAAAGAAATTTTGGGCCTTGATAAAGGTGCTTGGGAAACTTTTTTGTGGGCCCGATCACGTGGATGGTAGAACGCATGGTTGGCCGGCTTCTGTGAGTTTGATATCCCGGACCCAGATCACTCCAATTGTCAGTCAGACCGTGAACTTTGTTCGGAGTAACTTTGTATCAGATGGTTGCCTTGCGCCGCTGTCATAAGTTGATTGTTGCGGTTCAGCTGCGTTTACAGTGTTTTCTTTTTCGCACAACTTTATCAGAAAATTGATACCATGGACGCCGCCACGATCGAAGAAACCAACCGCATCAGGGTGTCATTGGGCATGAAGCCTTTGCCCGTCCCGGGTGCTGCCGTACAATCCGATCCATCTTCAACATCCAAGGACGAGGAGGCAGCGAGCACGCTCGAGAGTCGACAAGCTGAGTCGTATGAAAACTATAAGAAGCACCAAGAGGCGGCTGCTGCAAAAAAGAAGCGTGAAGAAAGAGCTGCCGCCATTCGAAAGGCTCGCGATGAAGCTCAACGCTTCGCAGTTATGGAAGGCAAGGGCCTCGGCGAGGAGGACGGCAAGGGCGATATCGACGCTAAGGCATGGCTGATGGGTCAGAAGAAGAGACAAAAGAAGATTGACAAGGCGAGAAAACTAGAGGCAGAGCTTGCTGCAGCCGAGGCCGAAGCAGCTGCCGCTGTTCAGTACACTTCCAAGGACCTTGCTGGTATCAAAGTCGCACATGATACATCCGATTTCCTCGGTGGCGAAGATCAGGTTCTCACGCTAAAAGATACTACTATCGAAGAGAATGAGGAAGAAGGCGACGAGCTCGAGAATCTGGGGATGCGTGAGCAGGAAAAGCTCGGCGAGAGGCTCGACCTCAAGAAGAGGAGGCCGGGATATGATCCTAATGATGACGACGAAGGCCAGGGTGGAATCCTGGCTCAGTACGATGACGAGATTTATGGAAAGAAGAGCAAGAAATTCACCCTCGACGGAAGCGGGACAATTGCAGAGCTCGCTGATATTCTAGGCGAGCCAGCCCCGAAGGCCGGTAAAGCCACCGTTGACCTCGACGACGTTATTGGCGATGCGCCCATGTCTTCCGATTACCTTGCCCCTTCAGAAATCAAAGTTAAGAAGCCCAAGAAGAAGAAATCCAAGGGCACGAGACAAAAGCAATACGACGATGACGATATTTTTCCTCTTGAAACCCGACAAGACAGTAATGCCATGGATGTGGACAGCAAAGAGAGCAACAGCAAGAAGCGCAAAGCGGCATCGGATACATTTGTAGACGATGACGACCTTCAGGCATCATTAGCACTGCAAAGAAAGAGCGCTCTGAAAAAGAGAAGGAAGGCTAGGCCGGAGGACATTGCAAAGCAGCTCAAAGAGGAAGAAGATGACGAGGCAGAGCAGCAGACAAACGGCACCGCTGAAAGCACCGGCCTAGTCATTGGAGAAATCTCAGAATTCGTATCTGGCTTGAGCAAACGAGACGACGAAGAAGAGAGGAAGCCAAGACGACACAAAACTCAAACCCAAAGCCCAGGCCTGCCAGAAGACCACCCTATGGAGAATGGCGAACACGAACGACAACCGGCAATCAAGGAGGAATCCGCACCGCCCCAAGCACCAGGAGAAGAAACGGGCGTCGAGGAAGAAAAGGCCATTGGCGCCGGCATGGGCGTGGCCCTTTCCCTCCTCCGCGAGCGCGGGCTCATCGAGGAATCCCGCGACTCCGACTACGAGGCCTTCCGCGCTCGAGAGGAATTCCTCGCCCGCAAACGCCTCCTCGAAGAAGAGCTCGACGAGCAGACGCGGCAGCAGCGCGAGCGTGACCGGGCCTCGGGACGCCTAGACCGCATGACGGTCCGCGAGCGCGAAGACTGGGCCCGCCAGCAAAACATGTGGCGAGACCAGCAGCAGTCCCGGCGCATGGCGGAGCTCTTTTCCGAAACCTACAAGCCCAACGTCGAACTCAGGTACACGGACGAGCATGGCCGGTCGCTCGACCAAAAGGAGGCCTTCAAGTACCTGAGCCACCAGTTCCACGGAAAGGGCAGCGGAAAGGGCAAGACGGAGAAGCTCCTCAAAAAGATTGAGGATGAGAAGAGACGAGAGGCCCAGAGTCTGTTTGACGCCGGCAGGGACAGCGGCATGAGCGCCGCCACGGCGCAGCAGCTGAAGAAGAGGAGGGAGGCAGGCGTACGACTTGGCTGAACTTGGTGTCTGTATCACAGGCACGAGTCCTTCTTTTCTTTTTTTTATAAATGCAAATCCGACGGTGATCCAGGGGAGAGATAGAATACCAAAAGGTGCTGATACCCTTATTTTTTTTTTACTCTTGCCTTTTCTCAATTTGCGCTTGCGTTCGTGCTGACACGTGCTGATTAGAACGATGAGGTAAGTATTATTGGTGCTGTGATGCATTTGCCACAATGTGCCTGTTGTTTGTAGGGTGTAGAATGCTCGTGACTTTTGTAGATGTTTGCTGTTGACAGGTTACTCTGGGCCCCGTCCCTGGCTAAGACAGGGCTTGCCTGCAATTTCGTGGCTCTTATTGCTTGTCGATTGAGGGGGCCCTGGTGTGAGGAGTCGCAAGCTGTGATGGCTTGGTCAAGGGCTACGTTCCCTTACGCTCGTTGTCTAGTCGCAAACCTGCGAGGCATTTGAACAAGACAGCTTATAGTTATATCATTCTGACTCAACCATGTAGCGCTTAGTGTACTTAAATTCGCATACGCCTGCATGTAGAGCAAAATCCTCCGTGTATCCTGTGAAACGTAAAAAAAAAAAACCTATGGCCGCCGCCAGTCTTAAAACCAAAATGTTGCCGTGAACCTAATTCCAATCCAATCCAACGCCCATAATTCATTCACAAGGAAACCCTCGCACCAATTCCCTTGCCTACATAATGAACCGTCTCGAACCAATATCCCACCCTGACCGTAACGTCAGCCACCGCATCCAACTTCAACTTCCCACCGAGGGCTTCCTTAAGCTTATCCAAGCCCACGTGGTCCGCCGACCATTCAACTGGTAGTCGTGGAGTTCGCGACACACCCGGCGAAACGTCGAATGGTTCGTCGCGTATAATTTGGCCAATAGGCTCGGTGTAATTATAAAAGGCTGTAGCGTTGATGTACTCTATATAAACTGTGTCGTAGCGCAGTGGCGAGGCAAGCATAAATGTTGCAGTGGATGAAAGAATGTGAAACATGGCGTCCCGAATGAAGCCCTGGCCTTCCCTGTCCCCACCACCCGGTAGATCTAGTCGGGGTGTTGATAGCGTCAAGTTGATCTTGGACAGGGCTTCGCCAATGATTGGTATCGTCGGAATTGTGCCGTTGTGTGTCCGCAGCGTAATAGTTGTATTCTTTCCCGACAGATACTCCGATAGCAGACGACGAGCTGCTTTGTGGGCCTTCTTTCCGCCAAATGAGGGAGGATCCCATGTTGCCTCCACTATAATATTTGTATTAATACCAGATTTAAAATGCAAGTTCTTCGTAATAGCTTCGCCAATCAACAAATTGTCTTCAAGAATATGAATGTTGACATATGGTATCGATGCTGTGTATGGTGTAGGGTTCGTAACATTGACTGATGCTTGTATATGCACGCCTGTACTGGAAGTATTGAGGATATGCACCTCCCCGACCTGCGGGTTCAAGGCCGCGAGCGTGTCCCCAGGCACGTCTGCAGCGCGTTAGCCAGGGGACAGTCGAGCGCTTTTCATGTATTTGACAGGAAATTTGACGCAAGGAAACATGGTGCTCTCGCCTGGATCGCAGTCTACCACGTGGATGACGGACGTTTTACGGGAACTTTGCCCGCTGCGGGCACCCTTCTTATGACAAGGTTGCCAAGGACTGTCGACACCTTGACATCCACAGTGGAATTAACGTCGAGTATGATGTCTTCGTCGCCAAATAAAAGTTCTTGTATGATGTTTGAGAATGTGTCGCTGTCGGTGATATCGATGGGAGTGTCGACGATTCTCGAGATCACCTTGAGTAAATCCTCTTCGTCGCCTGGGTTGTGGATCATGTTCGAAGTAGCTTTCTGCCATTCATCAACGTGCAGCTCTCCAAACTTTGTGCCCTTGTATAGGAGGTCGCCGTTGGCACGGAGGCTGTTGACTTCAATGTTAATGTCCAGGTCAGCAGGTATGGCAGCAAAGATCAACACCGTGCCAGATACCCTTGGTTTGCTGTCCACATCGCTTGGGTCGGCAAATGGACTGGGCAATTTGAAGTCGACGTCATCAAGTGAAAAGTTGCGTAGGAAGTTATCCAATGAGCGTCCTGGGAATTGGACGGGAGCAGTGATGCTTTCAATGAAGTCGCCAATCCATCCCGGGAGGTCACCACTCTCAGGTGCTTTTCCGCGGACAAACACTTCTGCATCCTCTCCATGCAGATAACGCTTCATGAAGTTGTCCAGTGGTGAAAACTCACTTGAAGGGCATGCTGTGGTGAGAGACTCTGGGAGCTCCCGAATTATGCCCTCTGCTTCTACAGTAACATTCGACCTGGCGTGCACCTCAATGGCACTGGTCACGGCGGTTGCAATCTTGATGTTGGGCTGAGACAAGTTGCAGTTTGGGACAAGGACTTCGAATCCGAGAGATGGGACGGTCAAACCGACCGGAAATTCATTGTAGGCCGTCATGGACACGTTTGCGCCAACTCCCATCTGGCCATTGTCACCAGTAGGAACGTCATGGAAAACGAGACTCTGCATGGAATACTCGGGTATGGACGGAAACTCATTGGCTGCGAAAGCGTTAGCCAGAGTGCATTGAATTAGTAGTATATTGGGTATTATTTAATGGTTTTTTGACCAAAATACAGCGAAGCAAAGGCGTGGTAGAGAGATTGACCTTCAAATACCATAGATTCTGAAACGTCATGAGTTCCCAGTGGGAAGATGCCCGATTTCAAGCTGAGTGCAGTGGCTCCCGTAACCTTGAGTGTCTCGAGATTTCCTTTGAGCCACTCGTTGACCACCTTTCGCATCGTGTCCGTGCCGCCGGGAGCAATTTCGGTGACAAAATCCAGGTTTGTGACTTGGCCATCTACAAGGTTGAGTGTGATGGGCGGCAGGGCTGCAGTACCGAGAAGAGCATTGCCGTAGTGAGGCAAATGCACGCGCAGTTTGGTCGCGGCAGTACCAAGCTGTCTCATAATTCCCGTAGCAAGTCTCCCAACACGACGCGCATTCTCATCTTTGACTCTTGACCCGTCAAGGTGGAACGTGGCCTTCACACGAGCACGAACCCCGTCGGCCGTCAACGATTCAATTGACAAGTCTGTTGGCTCCAATACGACTGCACTCTCGACGTATTGCTGGACGGCCGGCGGCACAACAAAGCCGAGGACCATAACCACTATGACTAACGAGGCCAGGATGACCATGGCAATAAGAGACGGCCATCTTCGTTTCCGATGCGGCGCCTCGCTTTTATGTGGATAATCTGCTGAGGTGTCATGGTGATGTTCGTGGTCGCCATCTGTAACAGAGTCTCTTCGATTTCCCAAGAGAGGCGATGACTCATTTCGTGCGTTTACTTCAGTCTCATTTTCGTGCTCATTCATCGTCGCAAGCAGCGGGGATCTTTCGTCGGCGTAAGCAGCCATGATGACGTTGCTCAAGTTTGTCAGGTTTGGAGGGGCATGGCCAGCAACAAGTAGCCGCGGTTGAATCGGATATGGAGGGCCAGAGGAAGGAGAGAGGGTTCACAGTGTGTGTGATGTTTGAGAAGCCAGGAAGGAAGGCTGATGGGACAAGGTAATTGAGGAGAGTGTGATGGTGATGGTGTAGATGGAGAGTTTACTTGATGCGAAGGACAGCCAAGGACGTCAGTCAAAGGTCATGCCCGGCATCGGGTTGGTAAGGTTTGGTCTGGGTCCAGATGTCACAAACCTTGGGGTGGGGTCTCAACAAGCAAGGAACCAGGGCTGACCCACACGAATTACGAGGAAATATTTTTGATTGGCTATGCACGAGGTCAGGCACCACGCATCAGGACTAGGCCGCTTTTTGCCCGTCGCAATGAGGGGCGGTCGAGTGCGGTGCCTTGTCATGCGTTCCTTTATCGGGTGCACCCCAGACTAAAGCCAAGGCCACTAGTCATACCCTAGAGCAGCTTCGCTCCCAACCGGACAGAGTGTGTAAATTTTTTCTTGATGTTCTTTGTGAAGGAGCAGCTTAGTGATATCAATATGGGGGAGACATACTTACACAATTTTCCAATAGCGCTTTTGTTTCGCCCAGTTCTGGACGCCTCGAGCTTTCGAGCTGGATACGAGGCAAAGGCTATTGGAAAATTAATGACTTGCCAGACGCGAAATTGAACATGCTAGTCTGATACGAGCATGTGGCTTTTTTTCCATTTCGGCAGCTCAGCACTTTACTTCGTATCCCCCAAGGGCACAAGAGGCAACGTCAAAAAAGTGGAACACAGTCCCAGCACTGTACCACTTCTCCGCCAACGGCGAACACCAATTGGACAATGACTCCATGCAGCCATTGACACCCATCCAGCTCAAAAAATCCCAAGACGTCGTGATGCATATTATGTGAAGTATCAATTGCATCAATTGCAGCTCCATCCTGACTTTTGGTTCCCCTCACTCTTCCACATTCATCCACACGCCCACTTCCATCCATCTCAAAGACACATTTCGCCATGAAACCATCAACATTACGCACAGCTCGTCTCGCCCTCAACGGCCTGCAAAAAAGGGCGTACTCTCAATCCTCGGGACCCAGGCATCTCATGTCAATCGCCGACCTGACACCCGCCGAATTCTCATCCCTAGTTCGTAATGCTGCTGTGCGCAAGCAGGCCGTAAAGGCGGGTCAAACGCCGCCCTCGCTGAGCACTTCGTTGTCGGGCCAGACTGTTGCCATGATGTTTAGCAAGAGGAGTACGAGGACGCGTGTGTCTACCGAGGCGGCGGTGACGATGCTTGGTGGACACCCCATGTTTTTGGGCAAGGATGATATTCAGCTCGGTGTATGTATGCTTGAGTCTCACACGCCCACACTTGCCATGGTTGCTGACCGTGATGTTAGGTTAATGAGAGCCTGTACGACACTTCAGTCGTCATCTCGTCAATGACGTCTTGCATGGTCGCCCGTGTCGGACCTCACTCTGACGTTGCCAACCTCGCCAAACACTCCAGCGTGCCCGTCATCAATGCGCTGTCCGAGGATTTCCATCCTCTCCAGACCATTGCTGACTTTCTCACGATCCACGAGGCATTCCCTTCTTCAAAACGCTCTGCGTCTGGCCTGGGTCTCGATGGCTTGAAAGTCGCCTGGGTTGGAGACTCTAACAATGTTCTGTTTGATTTGGCCATTGGCTGCGTCAAGATGGGCGTTGATATCGCGGTTGCATCACCTGCTGGCTATGGGGTCCCCGATAAGATGAGGCAGCTCATCATCTCTTCGGCCGAGGGGGTCAGCTCACCTGGTAAACTCTCGGAGACTATGATCCCTGAGGAAGCCATCAAGAGTGCGGATGTGTTGGTTACTGATACATGGATTTCCATGGGCCAAGAGAGTGAGCAGCAGAAGAGACTAAAGGCGTTTGCAGGATATCAGATCACGAATGACTTGGCTAAGAGGGGCGGCGCTAAGGAGGGCTGGAAGTTTATGCACTGTTTGCCTCGACATCCCGAGGAGGTTGCAGATGAAGTCTTCTACAGTCCCAGGTCTCTTGTCTTTCCCGAGGCAGAGAATCGGTTGTGGGCTGCTGTTGGTACGTGACTCGAGTCCCTGTTCATTGGAGAAAGAACTAACAAGTGAATAGCTGCGCTCGAGGGCTTTGTCGTCAACAAGGGTAACTTGTGAAAGTAATGGAAGGAACTAGTATTCGAGCTATTTGTATTTGATTTCACTCTTCATCAATGGATTTGAGCGCACAAAAGCCAAGTAGCGTAAGCAGCCGTTGAATTGAAGTAAACCAACATTATAAACAACTATACACAAAGCTCCCGTTCCTTCAGACGCCGAGTGGTCAACGACCTCATAGGATGCTTAACTTGGTAGAAAAAAAAAAAAGTTTAACCGGGGGGGAGCTGGCTGGCGTCAACGACCTCCTCAGCTTCCTTGACCAGAGGTTCCTCACCAGGACCACGGAGAGGAGAGCGAGGCAGAGCCATCAGACCGGTACGGGCTGACTCGAGGATACCAAAGGGAGCAACGAGCTTGAGGAAAGAGTCGATTCGAGAAGGCTTAGCGGAGCTGTTATTACCACGTTAGTGTCCAGTTGCGAATGCATTACCCCACGGTTCATGTGAACTCACAGCTCGACAATGCAGCTAATGGTGCTGATGTCCAAAACCTTGCCACCAAACTGATGAGTAAAATACGTAATGGTCTTCAAATGCTCATGCTTGTGACGCAAAGCCTCACTGGCTGCCAGCTTGCTAGGATGGAAGTCGGCTGACGTCTCTTCCAAAGACTGAGCTTGTTCAGCACCTTCAGAGGCATGTTCACCGTCGTATTCGCCAGCCGTAATCTCACGATGGTGAGCGAGCAGTTCTTCAAAGTACTCGGGGCCTAGGATGTTGATCTTGGCCAATAGCAGCTCACGCTGAACAAGAGCAGCATTGCTGTAATCAAGCACGGCCCAGACGGGGACAAGATCCTCCAGCTGTCGACGAGCTTGCTCGACAACGCCGTCTTGGCCAGTCAGGACGATGGTCATTCGAGACAGGTCCTCCACCTCGGTGTTGCACACGACCAGCGAGTCGATATTGAACCCACGGGCTGCCAGAATACCAGAAAGACGAGAGAGGACACCGGGCTCGTTCTGGACCAGGCAATTGAGGATATGGCGCTTCGGCGGTGCCATGGACGGCGTGGGCGTTTCGTAGAGGATGTTGGAAACGGCGGCTTGGGCGGACCATGCTGGCGGGGAGTTGGTCACGGGCAACGGGGCAGAGCGATTTCGAAGAGCCTTGTAGGCAATGGCAGAGGTTGAACTGCTGTGGGAGGAGTTGTATCGCACGAAGCTGAGGAATGAAGATTTGGTCGCCCAGCGCAGGGGAGCGGCGCACGACCGGAGGGAGGCCATCTTGGTTGCTTTTCAGACAGGAGATGGCCAATGGCTTTCCCTTTCGTGAAAATACAAGATGCTTCTCTCGAAATCGTTTGCACGTCGGGGGGGGACGGCAGGATACGATGCAGGAGAAGATTGCAGTCCTGAGTCAAAAGCCATCACGATTCTCCGAAAGATCGGAGGGTGAGTGACTGGAGCATGGGGAAGCTGATTGGCGGACGCACAGTGCAAAAAAAAAAAAAAAAAGGCG